CCGCTTACTCAGCTGTGGTGTCCGCACGTCAGATTATATCCGGTATTAAATAATATCGCGTTTCATGAAAATTATTTAATTCCCGGAATTATTACTTTGTTATTGTTATATAATGCCATCCACCCACTTGTGTACCGTAGGTCCATCTGGGAGCATCATAAGATGTAGCGAAGCAACAATCAAGTAGATTTTCCATAGTTAACAAAGCGTTGCCAAGCAATGGTTTTCACACAGTATTTTGGCCACAAGTCTGCGCAGAATTAAAAAAAAAATAACAAGTAGCCTTTCAGACTTTGTTCTATGTTTATAATTACATCGATATCCAATTGGTGGTTTCCTATTTTTTTCGTTAATAAGATTTTCTCTTGACAATAAAAAAACAAAAAAGAATTCTAGCCGTAGGTTCTAGCATTATGTAGTGACCAAGGCAAAAAGGGATTTATTTTTTTACGTGTATAAGTAATTTTTGAAAAAACCTTTTTATTCAAGACATTGTAGTTAATCAAACTTGATTTTTTAATTAACAGTTATTAGTTATATTGTATAACTCTGTAGTTTAACTACAGACTGTTTCCCGATTGTTTAAAAAGGAATAAAAATATTTAATGTTCTGTATTAGTGTTTTATAAATCGCTAATGTATACAGTACCGTAACAATGCAGAATTAATAAGTTTCAACGTTAGTGGAAATAACCCTTAACGTTATTTATAATAGTGAAGGGGCCTTCTAATGTACTTGACGCAATGACTGGCTTACTGTATATACCTGAGTTAAACAAGAAATAAGTTTTTGAAACACAACATGTTTCTCAAAATTCAATTATATGCGTCAAAATAAAGTGATTCTAAGGTACATTTTAAATTAAGAGTTTGTAGCAATAAATCGGTCTATTTTTTTTTCATAAAAAAATATAATTCAACAGTAACATTGATTAGTAAATTATTTTCAACTAAAACTAAAGCTGGATTAAATTTTAAAATAATGTTAAAGCAATTTAATTTGTATCAGAAGTTGTGATTGTTTCATACCTATTTCACCATAATTTAATTTCCCTTATTGCCATAATTATCTGTGACACAATCTACAAGGTGTACCTTAATTTTCTACCTTAACGTGATGATTATAAAAAGTATTTTCGTATAACAGTCTTCTTAAAGTATTTGTAGACACTGTTTCCGTTCTATTGCAATCAGATTTACTGAAATGCAATTAATATTTATTTCGTCAACACAAGCACATATCAGATTCCTATGCCTTATACCTTGCATAAAGTAGTATTTCATTTTCTAAATAAGTTCAAAATTCGTTTTAAAATGTCAACAATTAGACCATATTAATGTCCTAAAATAAATCTTTAATAATAGATTACAGCATAAAATTTCACGATTTCATTGCAATTTGTTGTACAGTAACTGAATAAGCGTGTTGAAACATAGTTACGCGTGGTTTTTATTGAGATGTGACCGACGAGACAGTGACAGTGAAAGTTTGAGTGAAAATGAATCAGGCACGTATTTATAGACCTTTACAGCTAGGAGTGTTATTGCTTAGATAAGAAACTTATGGTCGTTTTCCCAGCTACGTTTAATTATTCGTTAGTGTTTTTGGTTTGATAACTTCATAAAATTCGTGTCCGAACTTTGTACTTGAGTTTACTCCGGTGAACTTTTAACCTAGAAGTAATCAATCACAAGGTTATGATAAAATGAATGGAAACTTCAGCAACCCAGCATAAGTAAAAGATTCAGACAGTTTAAGAGTTAGACACTATAAGGGTGAGTTGCACCATATCGCCGGTTACGGTTAAAGTTAAAATTATCTGTAACGGTAATATTTGGAATAACCTTAAAATTTACTAAGGGTGAGTTACATTAACTAACTATAAACCTTAACCAGCACATTCCCGATGGTTTCGTCTGCGGATGTTCATGATATTCGCTACACCAGCTTTACGCTGGTCAAAATGACGTCATATTTGACACTAATCATAACCGCCCGATTTTGGGCGGTTATAGTTAGCGTTACGGTTAGTGTCAGTTCGGTAGTGTCAACTGTCACAAGCTCTTATCTTCAAAAGTACAAATAATAGAAAAAGTAATGGAAAAAGAAAATCTCTACTATTATCCTATACGTAATCCAGAAGAATAAAGTCTTGCGTGCTCGGAAATAATGGATTTCCAAGATGGAACTCGAAATTTGGCCAAACATTCAGTTTGGACAAATTTCGAGTGTCTAAGGCCATAGCAACAGCGCTTGTCCCTTTTCTCTTATTTAAAAAAAGGTCCTCCATAAAAGGACAATTTATAATATGCATTGACAGGACAATTTATAATATGGAAAATAAATAAGATGCATTTATATTTGTATAATTTTATTGCTTCATTTTTGGCGCTACATATTTGAGTAGTAAAGTAAATACAGTTTCAATAATGGCCCAAACTAGTTTATTTTCTCAAGAGTGCCATTTTCTCCATCTCCGTGGGCAAAAAGTTTATGTCACTATAAAATACCATGCGTATGATACATAAATGTAATCGGCGAAACATGAATTTGCAAACATTTTAATTTACGTAAATGTCATTCTTGACACCAACTTGACACTTCAGTGACATTCAGGTTTAAATGTTTCCATTGTAAAAACGAAAAACACATAAAACCTCTGTGAGAATATGTTTTTGCACTTGTAACCCTATTATAACTTTCACGATAACCGGCGATTTGATGCAACTCACCCTAAGTGTGTTAAAAAACAAGATGATTATTTAAGGAATGCGTTGAATGGTAATTATTACTTAGGTTCCGAATTCCACTGTATACGAAGTTTTACGAAGCTAAGGCGATCTGCCCTCGAACAGTGGCAAAGAATACATTTTATAATATATTTTACTTAAGAATAATACAGCATTGTAATGATGATATCGACCGATTTTTGACCGACCGATTTGTTTTAGTTGTAAAAGGAATAAATATTGATGTAGATGTATCTTGCCTTGAATAATTTCTTCCTGTTTTAAGGTGATAGTGAGCCAAGTGTTTTTGCCCTTAACCTCTTTATTTTAACTTGACTAGTCTTTTTAATGTCCCTTATAAGGACGCTTAACTACTTTTCCTTAAGGTTTTCCTTGTTATTGATTTCTTTTTTTACATGTTTTTGGCTAAATGCCGATAAAAGTTCAACAAATTTGTAATAAATTAGTGAAGATAAATCAGTTTTATTTTAATAAAATTTTTCTTAGTCAAAAATTCTGTTAATTGGTATCCTGTATTTGTAACACAAAATGTATCGAATAATTTTAAATAACTTTACTGGTTTTTGAAAGTCCCACTTATCTATTAGAACTCTAAACCCGTTTTGTAAATTAACCTGTTACGAGATAACGTTTTATTGTGTGATGAATAGAAAATAATTACCTTATCATACTTCATACTAATGTTATAAATGCAAAAGTTTAGATGGATGTTTGTTAGTGTTCGTAGCCTAGACGGCTGAACGGATTTCGATGAAATTTAGTATAGATGTGGAGGATAGTTTAAAAGAACACATAGGCTACACTTTTAGTTATTTTTTAATTCTAACCGGAAGGAGTCGCTTACGAAAGCTAGTTGCTAAGAAAACTTATTACCATCTCTATCTCACACTCTCCCCCGTCCAAAAAAGAACATATTTTGCAGAGGTGTTTTGGTAATGAAAACTTATGTAAAACAATGATGAACAAACTGTCACGTCTTTCAGAGATAAGAATTTATTTTACGAAACTTTTCCGAAGTACGCTAAGAAAAAGAATTAAACGACACGGTGATTTAAAAAGCTTAAACTAAAACCGTCATTATTATTTAGTTATCGAATTAAAAATATAATGAATTACCAATATCTTTATGTTTATAAAATCCTTATATTAAAGGAAAATTGATATATTACATTTCATAGTAACATTTAACACGGGTCAACAAAGTGTAAACATCCGAAATTCAACTTAATTACAAATCGTTTAAGTCTGTAATCACTTGATCGTGTAATAATCGACATGTTTTCAAAAACATATTCGTACGTAGAACGTTGGTGTTTGGAAAATATTATCACGTATTGAGTTTCGACGAAGCGACTCTGTAAGGAAATCGCCGTATGTATGTAGTGCGGCGTCGCTGTGTTTATCAAATTGAATCGTTTCTCTACACTCTCTAAACATTACTTGATGATGATTCATTGTAAATAAATCAGTGCGAATTGTTTAAACGCTATAAACGTGTACGGAATACTTGTCCTACGTATGTAGTAACTCGTTTCTTAAGCAAAAAAAATCACTTTGTCTTAGAACTTCTGGTCTTTAAATTCCTGATATCATATAATGTATATTATGTTGAAATTAATTTAATTTTAAGCGCAAATTAAAGAAGGCTTAACTCACGTTTTATCGTCCGGTGACGGCACAGACTAGTTTCGGACCCATCGGGGGTCTATCTTCGCCGTCACCGGAGGATAAAACGTGAGTTGAGCCGTCTTTAATTTTCGCTTATATAACACGATAGTTTAAACAATTAAATTAGTTTAATCTGCTTAAATTTATAAGGTTTTGAATGGAATTGTACTTTACACAGCAACAAAACATAACCACAATCTTATCGTTCGAACTTCCAGATCAGAATATTATCAATTGGCTTATGACTGTACTGTTAATCGGAGGTTTCTCTTTAGATTTTTAGAAAAGAAACTCTTGTATTAGAAACTTTTATTTCACACATAATTTAAAAACACAGTAAAAAAATATACATGATTTAAGATTTGATTGGATATATGGAATTGGTAAAAAATAGCAAGCTTCTTTCGTGATGGCTGGAGAGAGGTTAAGGGTCAGAGTCAGAGTTAAGATTATAATGAAAAGTACTCGTAATAATACTTATCTTGATGTAGCGTCAGCACATTTCTATGTAGAATGCATAGTGGGTGTGCATATAACAATATTTAGGAGCCGATATTAATAGTGTTTATTTTTAATTCCAGGGTTCGTGCTGGCTTCCGCAGTAGTGCTTCTATTGTTGGGCATAATATGTGCAATATTCTTCTCATCCTGGGTCAAGCTATTCATTGATCATGTAAGTTAAATGTATGTTACTTAAATAGACTAGCAGTTGCCCGCGACATCGTCCTCGTATAGAGTAAACATAGAAAGGGCGTACAATAATTTTGGTTGTGTTTAAATTTAAAAATGCTCCTCTCTTTAGCCCTTTAAAAAGTAAAATGTAAAAATGTTAATTATACTAATATTATAAAATCGCTTTCACAGCTTTCACAAGCTTAGATGAATTGATAGATGATTGTGAGAGTTTGTAGCCTAAACGGCTTAACGGATTTCGATGAAATTTGGTATAGATGTAGACGGTAGTCTGCAAGAACACATAGGCCACTTACCTTTGTATTTTTTAATGCCACGAAGACGGAATCACGGTCGAAAGCTAGTATTAATATAAATACATAATTGCAGAGTATTACGTACTGTATACTACAATAATTCTTCTAATGAGGTTCCTAGTTCGTAGTTTTTGTACTATAGTAGTATTTTAAAGGTTATCGCTGTTTAAAAACCATAAAACTTTCCACAGCTCTTTTTAATTGGTTATGTTAATACTCATGTTGTAACGTGACCTTCACCTAAATTGTTAATTTTGAAACAGTTAGCTTAAATAAAATCAATAACTATTCATACTTCTTTCGACAATATGTAAACAATTTATTTTGTAATTTCTGTAAACAACAATTTTTAGTGTTGATTTTAAGTATTGAATGCAATAGATTATCCATTTAAAACTTTCTCAATTGGTTTTTAGTTATTTGATTGATAAAATGTTCCATTTGTTTAAAATCGTATCAAGTTTTCTGGAAGAATTTTTAAACTAATATAATTTATTAGTTAGAATCCTAAATTCGGTTTAAATAGTCGAGCTTTTGATTTGTTTTTTTCATACAGTAATGAAATATTTAACATTACCTTTTGAGTACAATATGCGACCTTAAGAACAAATCTCTAACAACGGTAGTTTTCGTCCATAATACACTAATCAAATCCTACGCTTTTGTGTCAGAAAATTGATACATTGTAAAACATACGTTCGTATAAGGTCATTGACACACTAACCATTTAAAGCACAAGATTCGCAACGGTGATAGGTCCAACATAGAGTTTGTTGATTCATTGGCTCGTGAAACTACTTATACGTATGTATTTCTACGCGAATTGCGTACAGAAGCGTACAAAAGAAATCGTTCTTTGCAACGAATTTTCGAGGTTAACTGCTAAGTTATGCGTTTGTTGCGTTTAGAAGAAATATGTGTATGTAAGACTTGATTGTTGTACAAAGATATATGAAAAAAATGTTTGCTTTACATTTTACTAATTTTGCTAAAATTATATGCTAAAGTTTACACGAATTGATGGATGTATGGGTGCTTTATTTATTTATTTATTTATTTATTTATTTATTTATTTATTTATTTATTTATTTATTTATTTATAATATTTATTTATTGGTGATAACCACTCAGCATATGCGCTGATCTTCTGTGGCGTTTAAAATAGATGGCACACATGTTTTACACATAACAAACACATTCTCCATAACAAAATAAAATGTACATTGTCACAATATAATTTTGACATATGCAATTGATAACCTGACACATTTAAACAACAAAATAATATTTTCAATATCTAAATATTTCATGTAGTTTTAAATTTGTGCAGACGAAATAAAGGACCAATATCAGCGGATAGGTTATAAGCCCATAAACATTGTTGATAACCGAATATAGTTAAATATATTAGTTTATTGAAATAAAGTTTTCCCACACAATAATAATGAGTGTTAATTTCGCATGCCTCGTGCTAAAAATAAATTCTTTAATCTTATTCATACATCTTGTGGACTACTGTTTGTTGGAAACAATTGTTCTGTAAGATACTTTAGTTTCGCAAAGCGGTGCGAATCGGCAATTATGGCCGCTCGCCGGCTCGACGGCTCGCCTTCACCTAAATATTTACCAGTTTAAGCGTTAGTTAAGTTTATACGTCGATAAACCGTTCACTGTGACGTAGGCGGTTCGTAACGGTATCGAACTTTGTTACGAGCCCATTCATACATTTTTACTATGACTCGATTTGTTGACATGACTTTCAATTGTTTTTTAATCACTGAAAACTATATTACATGGATTTAAATTGCGGAATTTCTAAGTAGGACCCCAAGAACAATTTTTTATATCTATACTAATATAATAAAACGTAAACACAGACTACTTTGTGGCGTAGGATGTCAGCAATCGCAGCATATTTTTAAATAATTCTTTCTTTAATAAAAAGCCCTACACTTACGACACGCTTTAGGCTATATATTTTTACGCTATAAGACATGGGGATAAATAAATTGAAAAAGACCTTCATGTGCAAAAGGGACCATAAACTACAAGCTGCCAACATTAAGGAGGCAAGGTTGTCATGGTTTTTCATGTCATTTTCATAATTTTATGCAGATAAAATCGTACGGGAACAGCTAGTTCTTTAATATTTTTCATTTTAAAAGTTGTTTGTGTATAACAGGAGCTGGTACTCCGCCCAGGCTCGATGACTTTCGAGTGGTGGGCGCGACCGCCGGTGCGGCCGTTCGTCAATGTCTACGTCTACAACGTGACTAACGCAGATGAGTTTCTCAACAACGGCTCCAAGCCAATACTCGATGAGCTCGGACCATATGTCTATTCGTAAGTACAATATGCAATAATCACACAAGCTTGGACACAGATGTCGCTTTAACACCTTCATAAAGAAAGTATTGGATAATGAAAAAACCGTTAAATATCATCGTATCATAATTATTAAACAAGCATCTGCAATTCCCGAGTTGTTGCGGATGTCCATGGGCGTTAGATAAATTTATATTAGGCGAACCACTACTCTTTTGCTCCAGTTTTCTTTAAAAATAATAATTATGAAAAACATTAATCATACTAATATTATAAATGCGAATGTTTAGATGGATGGATGAATGTTTGTAAGAATTTGTAGTCTAAACGGCTAAACGGATTTCGATTAAATTTGGTCGAGATGTAAAAGATAGTCTAGAAGAACATAGGCTACTCACTTTTGTTTTTTTTTAATGCCACACGGAAGGAGTCGCGTGCGTAAGCTAGTGTAATATAAAGGCTTTAGATACTTAATAAATGAAGAACCCAAGTAGTTCTAATTCAATTATAAAAAATCTGTGTCAGATGAATAGACTCGCAACTAAATAACTCAATTATTGCGTTAGTAACACGTGGAATGGATCGGCTTCTGTTCAGTAAATGGTAGTGATGTCGGTGTATCCAGTACAGTGTTATATCACACGTGTTGTAATTTATTACCGAACTAATCACCGCTAGGGGGCGCTTGCGTCACCGCGTAGCATTTATGAAACTGTTATATGTTAGTCTGTAAAATGTGATACTGACTTTCGAATCCAGGTAACGCCTTAACAATAGATTACCTTAATGATTCCTAAAGTAGACTAAGATCTTCTGGGGTTTTTTAAGTCGTGAAAAATTAAGGATTCATAAGTTAAAGAAGAATGATGTAAATAATCACAATTAAAACAATGGTATAACATATTTTGTTCGAAAAGAAAACTAAAAAAATATAGATTTAAAACGTTACACTTATTGTGTACAAAATTTGATTGAAAAAGTCTTCACTTCCCACTAAATATTGATGTTTGCAGGTATTGTTCTTCATATAGGAAATTCATTGTAGCATTGCTTACTTAAGGCGAAGCCGAGTCACGCATGACTAATTACAATTGTTGACTGTTTATTTAGCTCTTACGTATTCCGTGTACAAGAGATGTACGATACTTATAGTAATTAAATTATATTTACGTTTATCATATTGATAATTCATTTGTGTTATTATTTAAAATCTAAACTAATATAAATAAAGGATTTATTAGGATTGATAGCAATCCTTAAAATAATAAATACGTCAAATAGAATGGATGTTCTTCAGCTTGTATTTTTAACAAATACGATCGACCTCGGCTTTTAAAGGAAATGATTCGCTTCGAATAAACTCGAAGTTTTCCTCGTAGAGAAAATGTAGGCAGAGAAATTTTACGTTCTCGAATTTCATTTTCCTGATAATGTTGATTTTCTCTTTCATTTTAAAAAGTTGGTCCGTATAATATTGTTGAAAGAATCTTTATTTAGGATTTTTTATTTGTTATATCCACTTTGTCACTAGAGCAATTCCACATATCACGCGATATTGCGTGTTGTTATGCGATATATAAATGTAATGACCGATATCTCATACGACTCTGCACCTATATGCGTTTTTCTGTAATAAATCAAATATTCTTTCCAATTAAGAAGGAAAGAATACAATTTTATTTCATATTAACTAAATTGTTTACATTTTAACTCACGTTAAGGGCCTTCAAGAAAATAGTGAATGGGTATTTATTAGATTAGCGCGTACCATCTTTCGATAACATCTTTACTCTCAGTGTGTGAGGTCGCGGTAAGCGCTAACTTAAAAAAACTTTAAAAAAGTTTAATCTCCACTTTTCTTACCTTATTTAACAATATTGTCATCTCTCTTATTCTTGATGAAAAAAATTAAGAAAAAACAGTATTAGTTTCATCAGTTACAACAATAGCTGTTGACTCGTGTACCTTTTATTTAAAAAAAAACTTTTGTTAACAGGGAGGAGTGGGAGAAGGTGAACATAACCGACAACGAGAATGGGACGCTCTCCTTCCACTACCGGCGCACTTACACCTTCCAGCCAGATATGAGTGCTGGACCGGACGATGACGTCGTTGTCGTCCCAAACATACCCATGCTGGTGAGTAAGAAGTATACGTAGTAACTAGTAGAATACGTATCAAGAACGGGACATATTAATCTACTAGCTTTCACCCGCGACTTCGTCAGCGTGAAACTAAAAAAAAGAAACAAAAGAAAGTAGCCTATGTATTCTTCGAGACTATCCTCTACACCTATACCAAATTTAATCGAGATCCGTTCAGCCGTTTAGTCTACAAACTCTAACAAAAATCCATCCATCTAAACACTCGCATTTATAACATTGGTAAGATTTAATTCTAGCATTTTCTTAAACTCAAATAACAAAGTATAAATAATTATTACGGTAGCAAACAACTGTATTCGCTATGTTTGTTACCAAAGTATAAAATCTACTCTGAAACATGATCTACACTTATATTTATACTTTAATTGTAAGATCTTAATACTAGTGTTTATCTCATAAGTGTCGTAATTTCCAATATGTCTTGATTAAATAACGTCTTCAATTAAATACTATGATAGTGTTATTATAATAATAACCGTACTTTAAGCTATAATAAATACTTTAAGCAATAGTTAAGAGAATTATGTACATTTAATACGAACTGATGATAATAAATCAAATGGTAAATAACAGGGATCAAAGTCTCTTGGTTGGTCTATGGTATATTCTGGATTATATCGAAGAAGTTTTTAATAATTTATGTATGCTCCCGTGCGTCTTCATCCGCATAATATTATTATGAAAATTTTATTTTATTGTTTAAATGTGTCAAATTATCAATTGCAAATGTTAAAATGACATGACATGATGACAAAGCATGGCAACTTATGGTTTCTTTCCCACAGTAGGGTTTATATCCAAAATGTTTACCCCCTAAGTTTAATGGCATGAAAATATATAGCCTAAAGCGTGACGTAAGTGTAGGGCTTTGTATTAAAAAGGGAATTATTCAAAAATATTGTGTAATTGCTGACATCTGAGGCAACAAAGAAGTGTGTGTTTACGCTTTATTATAATAGTATAGAAGTATAGATAAACAGTCCTCAATAAAACTGCTTTATAGTATAATAGATAGATTATTCATTGCCAAAGAATTTGGATATGTTTTAATATAATAATCTGAAATATAATGATCTTTTAAAATGATTCCCATTGTTTAAAGATAAATGCATAAATTCCACAAGACTTTCCAATGTCGCGGTTAACGCGTAATTGTCAGGAATGTGATAAATAACATTTACCATAATTGATCAATCGATATTGTTTTTAATCGAACGTATTAGCATTATAATTGGATAGCAGACTGAGTTGTCGCGAGTCTGTCACTAGCTTTATCTGCCATACACGAACCCATTCTATCAAATGGTACGAACGGTTTCAAGCAGTGGGCTTTGGTGATCAATTCAACAGACGGAGGTCGCGGACGTAAGTGATAGCGTGCCCGTGGCCCCGGCTTAATGCGTTGGAGGAACAGAGGGTTTTAGTAGGTACGCCCCATTATGGGGAGATTCCCATATAACTACCGTATTCCCCAGGGCACAGTATGCATAAAGCCATCCCTCTGGAAGAAATAAATGGTGATCAATTCGTATTTGTTAATAGTACTACGTTGGTGATTTTTGGTTGTATTCTACTAACTATATCGGTCGTACCCCAATAATTTGATTTAGTGAGTTCGTTGTGTAAAATAGTTTGTATATGGCAACCCTTATTGAATGCACGTTGTAGCCCGAGTGAAAGTGGCACACATCGCTTCGCTCTCCTTACATGATCACAATTTTGATGTTCTATTGTTTGGGTATTTTAAGATTTTTGAATGTTTAAAGTCTACTGTTACTGGTATATATGGGTTAAAGAATGTGTTTAAATGTACTGTAGATACACTATTATTTGTTTTATTCACAATAAGATTTATTCAAAGTTAGGGAAAGTAGAACGAGATATAGACCCACCTTGTTGTATGTATTTAAGAATGTTACACTTTTCCAACATTAAAACTCAAAACTTTTTATGTACCTAAGGAATATTCTTCTTGGTTAATATTTAAAGAATTATTTAGATAATTTTATAAAAGTAAAAGATGTCATCGCGACACAGATATATAATCAATAGTAAAGGCGGAGCATGTCAGAATAATAGTTGAGATGTTGACAAATTTGTAAAATCTTCTAACCTTGTTTAATTAGCATTGCTTCTGTGATTATTCTAAATTTGTACCTGGAATCGAATTATGTTTAATTACTTTTCATCTGCGACTCCGTCTGCGTTAAATTTAAAAAAAAGTGAGTAGCCTATGTGTTCTTCCAGACTATCCTCTACGTCTACACCGTCATCAAAATCCGTTTAGGCTACAAATTCTAACAAAGATTCATTAATCTAAACTATCACATTTATAATATTAGTGAGATGGTAAGATTGATAGCTACAAAAGCGAAGTCTATCAGAAGAGTATTGTGGTTCCCAAAGCTGCTGATGCTAGCTGTACTAACGGCTTGGGATAGATGTCTACGGCCCCTCTTTTTTTTTACCATAACTAGAGGGTAAAGAGTGGTATGTGACAGTAATTTGCAGACCTGTGAGGCACATTTCTATTAAGCGCTCTGGTCGGTCGCCCAACTTGCTAAATTATATATCGATGTACTGTGTAGTCGAAGCGATTGACACTAGGAAGGTGCGATATGAGATAACTGTACGGTTCCGTATCGACGGACGTTCCGGAGCGTCGATTGTTCCGTCTCACAAAGCGCCTTGATCGTACACCTTCACCTAACACGATAGCTTGCTCGGTAACTACACACATGGGCAATAAACGTGCAATATTGAACCTATCAGTGTTTTATGGGATGCATCATGCATGTTGCATAACTCGATTCTCTGTCGATGGTTTCTTAGCAGCATTTAGTGAACGATGCGATTGATTAGAAACTACGCGACACGTATTTTTCATCTCATGTATAAGATGAAATCTCTTTTACTTCCAATTCAAATAATGATTAAGAATCGAGAGTCTTGAATTCGATTAATCGTAAATTACATAAACAATGGAAATGTTTTGTGACATTTAAAAGGTAGATTTTTTTTAACATGTACCAAAGTTTATCTGATCTACTTTACTCTGCTTGTTTATTGTACAAGTGTACGTTATTAATGTGTTAAATAGCGAATAGAAATCGTTGAAGAAACGTCGATTATCACAGTCCATTTGTCAAGCGATGCGTAACAGAAACCCGCACATTTGACGATGAGGTCAGACTGGAAAGTCGGCCATATGTGCACTGCACTCCACGTGAAATGTATGAAACCATTGTCTAAAATTTACTGCTATCCTGTGCTAATTACACTTCGCACGAGTAAAATCTCTTACTAACGTGATAATTAGATAGAAGTCGTTGGCCTTTGCGGAAGGCGGAGGGCCTCATTATGTGTATAGAATTGGAGAAGACCTATGTCCAGCAGATTATGACATCAGACAAGTTGCAGGAGTAACATGGAGTACGGTGGCAAGAGAAAGAAGCGAGTGGAAAAGGTTGGAGGGGGCCTATGTCGAATGGCAAACAGATCTACGACAAATTAAAAAGAATCAATTCTTAGAGTAATAAAGTAACTATATTGCATTAGTGTATAAGTATAAGAAACATGTTCAACAACTTTGTAAGAGGATGTCAAACGCTATTTTATTTTTTATTTATTATGTCCAGCAGAATAGACACTGATGATGATGATATTCAGATATTTCTTTCATTTCAATAAATGAAAAGTTATTTATAAGTAAAATAGGCTGAATCTTTAATGGAATTTACACTGAAACAAACGTTTTATCTCTCTTTTATTTTAAGTAATGAGAGGGATGGCACTATTTCTTACTTGTTTCGCTTATCCAGATAAACTTCTGCACAATTTTTTAAAAGACAAGTATAACATGTTCTACGGTCGTTTTAATGTCTTGCAATAAAAGGAACCAGTTAACATTGTTACGCGATTCTGAAATAGTTATTTTAAGTAAGCTCCTTAATGACTACCAACTTAAACAACGTGACCTATCTAAAGAATAAATCAACTCTTCTTAAAATGTATCTAAGTGACAGTCCAATAGGAATTTCGTCCGTTTGTAATTTGCCTGGGAAAATAGCACATCAAACGAATTCATTAATAGCGTGACAAAATGATATTTAAACAAATTATTTAAACACTATGTAAAGATTTAAATCTTTGCGAAGTGTTAATACGTCTTGTCACGTCATATAATTTCCCTAGGCAAAATACAAACAGGCGGAGTTGAAAATCCGTAGGTGACTTCAACATAACATCACGATGTATGGACGTCTCTGGAATTACTATCATCGTATAATTCATTATCAAAGAGATTTCAACTTTATGTCTTACGTTTTACATCTTTTATTTGCATGTTTCTCTTATATATATGACCTTCCAGTACTGATGTACCCCTAAGGGCAACAACCCATTACATGCAATTTATTCTTAATCAAGAAACCTGATGTTTATTTTTGTATTGACTAATTGTTTTTTTTTGTGTTAATCCTGTACACAAGTGAATATAAAAATACTTAAGTTAGCGAGCGTTCGCACGGACGCGAAAACGCTAAGCGGTAACTATGTGTCAAAATAGAACGTATGGGATTGTATGAAGCTGTTCATA